TAGGAAAACAATGGAGAAAACTTGTGGGTATAATTTTATTGCAATAAAAATTTTCTAAATTGCATTGACACTGTCAGTCAACTGAAAATTTCGTTTCATTTATTGATTTGAATAATTTTTGTCAGAATAATAAATCAGCTGATATATTACTGATCACTGTTATTTGTTCAGTCTTTCATATAAACACCAAAGTTTTGAAAACTCTCGTTCTTCATCAGGTTAGTGAGTAAATAGTTACCTATATTTAAAAATAGTGAATTACAGTGTCAAGTCACTTGAACACTTCCCGTGAAAGTATCTATATAAGAGAGACAAATCTCCTACCTTTCTTCGATGTTCCAGACTAACAAGGTTGCAAGTGATGGTCGCGTCTCCAATCAGGCGGATGGCTCTTTTCTGGATAGAATCCAATAGCTTCGGAGTATACTTAGGGGCGGAGCTCCATAGATGAGAACTACATCCCAAAGAAGATATGATCTGAGCTTTATAAAGCATAAAAAGTTGCTGAGGTGTTTGTAGTTTTCTGGTTCTGGTTCGGAACAGTATTCCAAGCTTTTGAGAAGCGGCTTTTGCAATTCCAGCAACATATTGGGTCCTTTTTAACCCCCAACAAACTCATCGAAGCAGAAAGTGGAATTGTCTGACCTGACATTACTATATCCGGTTCGGAGATTTTTATCTTTTTGGAGAAAACCGATGCCTTTGTTTTTGTGGCATTGAATTGAACCTGGTTATTTGTACTCCAATTCGAAATTACTTCTAGATCCTTATGCTGCCGGTGAAGATGTACATCCGCCACCAATGTCCTGGAATCCAAATGGAATGGTGAAACAAGTGTGCTGCCGTCAGCAAAGCAATATATTGGACTCTTGGTTTATTCCAATGAGTCGTTGATATACAATAGAAAGAAAGTTGGATGGTGAAAGTATTCGAGAGATATCCGTCAACGGACACTAGCAGGGAACGTTCTTTTAGGAAGCTGAAGAGCCATACCCAAAAGTAATTCGACAAGTCATAACTTTGAAGTTTGGCCAGCAAACTCTCATGCCACACACGGTCAAAGGCCTTAGAAATATCAAGCGCTACAGCTCTTGACCCTCCATCTTTTTTGTCGAAAGCCTTATTGATGATCGCTCAAAACGTTGAATTTTCCAAACATTTAAGGATATGGTGGTTACTACGGCTTTGTCCATGATTTTTGATATCGCTGGTAGCAAATCGACTAATCTATAGTTATTTGGAAGATTTATCTTGCTCTTTTTGGGAATAGACTGAACTCGAGCAATTTTCCAACAAGTGGGAAAAACCCCTTTCTTTTAAGACAGGTTGAAAAGTCTGCAAAATACTGGTGCGAGTTCATATGCACACTTTTTAAGTACGAAGACTGGCACTTCATCATGAAAAAACGCCTTGTTGATATTGAGCTGTTTCAGAATTCGGTTGACTAGACGTTGTCGAAGAGTAATTCCCGGCATTGTGGATTCTAGTGTGTGAATAGTGGATGGTACCTTCCCCAGAAAATCAAATGTGTAGTGGGACGCAGTAGCGTAGGTGAGTAAAATTGACCAAATTCAAATAAGCATTTTATATTACTCTCCAAAAATATTTCTAGTTGGTGAGGCTAGAATAACTAGTGAAATTGAAGATTCAGAGATCAAACTGGATGGTTATAGTCACATTCGTTGTGATTCTACAAACCAGCAAACCGGGGGTGTTGCGATTTATGTGAAGGATGGTATACAGTGTTCAACAAAGAAGACTCACATTTTAAAAGACAATTACTGGTGTAAGGTCATAAGAGTAAATTTTGTTGTGTGTCAATGGTTAGTGTGTTGTCTTTATCATTCTCCATCTAGCTCGGATTCTATATTCATAGAAAACCTGGAAAATATCTTTGATGATATCTTTGTCAATGATAAGCGTTGCATTCTTGTAGGAGAATTTAAATTAGATTTTTTGAATAACAGTTTTTATGTGAAAAAAATCAAATCTATGTTTTTGCAATATGGAATTGATCAACTAGTACTGGATCCTACCAGAATTACTAATAACAGTGAAACTCTAATTGATTATGTACTAACTAATAATAATTGTGCAAACTGTTTTGTCCATCCTACTACAAAAATAAGTGACCATTCATTGATATCTATTTGTCTCAAAAATAACAAACGAACTGAAAGCACTTCTATCAAAAATTGTAGAAACCTTAGTGAGCGATAAAATTTGGATAAAATAAAACTAGATTTAATTTCATGTGATTGGGATTTGAATTCATCCGATGTTAGTGTCATATATTTCAATTTACTTAATAACTGTCAATCAGTTATCGATAAAGTTGCACCAATTCAAGTCTGTCACTATAAAAGTAACATTCCATGGTTTGACAACGAAATTCCTAATAAAATAAAACGACGTGATCAGATATATAAGGATTTTATTAAAACTATAGGGGTGAATAAAAATGTCAAATGGAAAGAATTTAAGAAACAGAGAAATGAAGTAGTGAATTTATTAAAAAAGAAAAAAGAACAATACTTCTTCGATAGAGTAGATATGTATAAAAGTAACTCAACTGATGTGGAAAACATTAAAAAAGGTAATAAACATGAATTGCCAAAACTTTCCGAGCTGTATAGAATTTAAATTAACAAACCAAGTTTCATATATTAATAATGAATGAATTACATCTAATTGTTAACTCCTTAGACAACAAAAACAATGTTCATGAGATCTTAAATTCCAAAATGCTCAAAGTCATCTTTGAAACATATGGACATATAATTTTAAACCTTGTAAATACTTCTCTTCAAACCTCTAAAATTCCAAATCCTTTAAAAGTTAGTACTATAGTTCCCATTCAAAAGGTTAACAATACAATCAAGGCCAGTGATGACCAGTGAAGACAAGTGATATATATAAATAAATTACCAACAATAGAAAAAATTCTTTAACTAGCTGTTTATAAGCAGGTACTTGATAATGTTGAAAAAAATGAAGTTTTAATAAATAATCAATCTGGATTTCGTAAAAAGTATTCATGTGAATCCGCATTACAACTCACTTTATCTAAGTTCAAAAAAGAAGTTGATAACAATAAATTTGTAGTAGCTGTTTTTCTTGATCTGAAGAGGGCGTTTGAAACAATTGATCGTAATATTCTTCTAATAAAATTAAGAGGTTATGGCATTGATGGTGATGTTTACCAATGGTTATCTGACTATTTATCCCATAGAAAGCAAAAAGTCAGAGTTCAAGATAATATCTCACAGGAATTGGATATACATATAGGTGTGCCTCGGGTTAGCGTTTTAGGACCTCTGCTTTTCATCTTATACTCAAATGACAGAAACTTGTTTATAAATGTTGATTTTATAAATTTATTTGCAGATGATACACTATCGGCATGCTATGATATAAGCTTAGATAAAGCTATTGATAAAATGAAGGCTGCATTAAAGGATGTAAATGATTACCTCATGGCAAATAAATTAAAACTGAATAAAATGAAAACTAAAGGAATGATTATTACAACAAAATATAAATGGAACAACCCTGATTTAAATGAAATAATTCTACAAATCGATAATGAAAATATTGAAATTGTATCATGTATCAAATATCTTGGATTCCAGTTAGATAATTTATTACTTTTTGGCAATCATCTCGATTATATATGTAAAAAAATATCTAAAAAACTATATTTCTTTGCAAGAATTTCTGGCAATTTATCCACTCAGTCTAAAATTACTGTGTACAATGCGATTATTCAACCACATTTTGATTACTGTGCTTCTATTATTTTCTTGTTTAATTTAAATCAAACATCTCAATTACAAAAGCTTTAAAATTGTGGTATGCGAATACCACAATTAGAACAATTATTGTTCTAAAAGTGAATAGATTTACTGAAATCGGAATTATGTTACAAACTTTGCGGTGGCTACCAGTTTCTTTACGGTTGTATTATTACTTAACTATGACATTTATATATAAAATTCTGAATAACTTATTACCTTCATATTTTTCTGAATTTGTTAGTTTGAAGTGCACAAATATGCCACGAGAAATCATACTAATTTTCATTTATGCAGAACAAATAGGAGAAGTGCCATGAATTCTTTATTTTTCAAAGGGTTTGTTGCATACAATAAATTGCCAAATGAGATTAAATCTAGTTCATTATTAAGTATTTTTAAAAAACAGTTATTGAAATCGATCCACAATGCTAGATAGAATAAAACTCGGTAAGATAATATTAATAAATATAGTATTTGTATATTGTGTTCTACTTTTTATCATTGTATAGGAGCTGCACCTATATTGCAATGTATTTTTAATAGCATATGTCGTTATTTTTCAAACTAAAAATGTTTATTTTCAATTTCTATGTTAGTAATATGTTTTATATAATATTGTGTATTAGGATTACCTATTTCAATAAATATATTCTTCTCCTTCTTAGATCACTGTTGAGAAGCGAGATGTATTTGATGAGCTACAATAAACCCTTGTGGATTGCAGTGAAAGGTCGAATAGACCTACTCAGTTCTGACCTACTACTACTCTCTTCTGATTATATCTACTATGAATCGAACTTTAAGGTGAGATCGCTTTAATCCCTAACTAAAAAAAGATTTATTGAATTTGCGGCTTGTTGTTGTTTGTAGTGGGCTACAGCCATTTAACGAAAAACTAATTAGTTTTTTTGTGGGGGACTCAATATTTTATACTGTCTTTTGAGTTTAGAACCTTCAACAATCTGGAAAAAAATTACAATTCAAGGAGATTCTCTATTGATTTATCTTTTATTTTTTCAGATTGTGGAAAAAAACAGTATAGAAAAACTGATATTTGGATTGGTTCATATTTTATATGTTCATTGAATGATAATGTGTCTAGGTGCTAACGTATTATGATTATTATTGAAAATTTTGGAATAGAAATCTCCTACCAAGAGATCGTCCATCCCATCTGCAAAGGCCCATAATAAATAACAACTATCAATCTTCATTCTTTATTGTAAATACATAGTAAAAGTTTGGTACAAACTCGCTTCATAGTTTTTGTAAAACTAGTCCTGAGGTTTTCACTTTATACAAAATGTCACTGGTTTCGTTTGTATATTATTACTAATAATGACATATACTATCACTACACATATTTTATCACATTTCAATCGGAAGTTGAAGTGTACATGCAACTCCGTAAAAGTATGTAACTATGGAAACTGGCTATAGACTTCGTTGATGTATGTGTACCTTATCACATTTGAACTTTTGTCTCAACTATGAGTACAGGATGAATCTGGTGTTAACTTTACAATCCAAAACATAACCTTTTTGATTTAAAATGTGATCTAAGTTAAATGCCCATCCACCATTACAAGAACAAGTATTTCCCATAATATCAAAAAACAGCTTCAGTTCATTTTCATAATTCAAGAAGCACCTTTTTAGATTGAGTAAAATATCGTATGTTCAAATAATAATAGGTACATGATACTGAAATTTTATCAAAAAGAACTTTGCCATTTGAAAATGAATTTCAATTTAAAAAACGTGAGACATCTTCTCACGTTTACCTTTGGAGAGTAGAATTAACATTTATATATAACATGTACTGAAGGTTTGTTTTCGTGTACTTTTTCACTTGTCAGATAAATGTATGAACGTGATTTGCCAATCCCTACGACATTTCATGATTGCTGATTCGCATTGCTTGACCTTTATCTCGTTAAATTCACAAATTTCATCATTTGGGGAAAGGAAATGTCAGTTTCCTGCAAAACACACTTGATATAATCTATCCCCCCTTATTCGATGCCTATAACCAGCAACTTGGAACTTGACACTATAAATTACTCTCCCACAGTTTTAAATAATTATCTAGAACTTCTTCAAACCACATTTTTTTCACTGGATCCTTGAATGCTGGAGCCAGGGTCTTCATGTTCATTTCCAAAATTGCTTCATTTCCTAGCATGTTGTTTAGTCTTGCTAGTAACTTTGGATCACCTGTAAAAATATTGAAAAATGTCATTGGGGATTGAAAAAACAAAGGAAAAAGTAGAATAATATAGGATAGGGAAAATGATTTTTGTCTGATTTCTACTGAGTTTTTATTTATAATGACCGGTTTCGGTGTTTTAAACTATTGTCAAGTAAACTGATGCATTTTGACAAAACAAGTCCTAAAATATACAATGATACAGTCAGGTACCTGCAATTGGTACCTGAAATGACAAATGTTTCCTGAATTATCAATACCAATACTAAGACAACAACTATTTGTCTTTTATAATATATAAAAAGGCATTAGTTTACTTGAAAATGGTTTAACAAACCGAAATCGGTCGTAACAAATATAAACTCAAGAGAAATCAGAAGAAAGTTATTCTATTTCCTATTTTCAATATGAATGTTTACAAAATAAAATATAGTTGAATATAAGTTTTTCCAAAGATTTCACAAATTTATTTTCTACAGACAGAGAGTCTTGCAATCGCATGGTGCATAGGTTCTCCCGTAAATATTTTCGGAAGGAAACGATTTCCAAGGAAACGAGGAAAGGAAAGTGTAAATCGTCCACGTTTCCCAGCTAGTAAAGTTTTATTTCTTTTGAAGTTGAATGCTGTATGCAATAACCAAAATTATAAAAATTAAAAAGGAAAGTTCCTTTACGTTGAGTCGCCAAAATTATGTGACATTTAACTTGATGTTACACAAATTATTAAATACTAGTTTTTGCCCGTGTTTGTCTCATTAAGTTTCGTACACACCATTTTAAACAAATGGTTACAATCTTTTTTTATTAACCCAAAATTTCAGGTTTCTAACTTCAAAACTGACGAAATTCAATACAATCTTTGAACCCGTATTTTTCCCCTTGGGGGGTGATTCTTTCTTAATACCTATTTACCTATTTACACTATAAAGTTTGTGAGGATGGATTATTGCAATAAATGTATTTAGGTTTTTTACTTTTTCAGGCCTAAACAGCTCAACGGATTCGAATATAAGTTGGTATATAGATAGATCATGACCTGGAATAACACAAAGGTTAGGCTTCCACGGTAACTCGGGTAAAACAGCGGGGAACGGCTAGCATTGTAGTACAAGTGCATATAGTCGAAGTTACCGGTATGGTAATTCTTAAACCTTCGGCGAACTCAAAGGCCAAAAAAACCAATACAAAGGAATATCGCCGCTACGAATTAGTCCATGAGGACTGAAGAATTGGCGGTTTGTATTGGATAATTTTTACTAACCGAGTTTTATGATTGGCTGAAGAGTCATAAAATTAAATTTAAAGTCATGTTAGGGTTACCAATAGAATGTAAGGACGGTTAGAAGAGTCGTGTTGTCAATGTTCAGTTCAGGAACTGATCGCGATTCGAGTGTTGAAATTCGATATTGGTGAAGTTATAATTTATTGAAATTTTTGTTATTTGTTTGAAATGTGGCTTCCTTGGACAAGTACTAATAGTAATAACGAGTGTGATAACAACGCATACTTTTTCCTCTGTAGTGATTCCAATAGCGCTGGCGAACAATGCGAAAAAGATATACCATTGAATAAGATTCATTTGAATATTGAAACACAGAGAGTATGTTTCAATATATATATATAAGAATCTACATATCTATTTGGACGAAACTTGGTATAACACTCACGACACAGTTACGAAAGGGTGGACTGATAGTTCGAGAATGTGTACGGCTAACATGTCTACAAACAAAGGCATTGCGGAGGAAATAAAGGATGGGTTTCGAATTCTTTGAAATAATGTGGAAAAAAACTTGAGGACTGCAATGTTGACTATCATAAGAACATGAAAGCTAATATTTTTGAGGAATGGTTTGAAAACACTTTGATTTGGATGCGAATTGTGTAATAATACTTGACAGCGCTTCCTATCATTCGCGACGGCTCATATCATCAAAGTACCGAATAAAAATTCGAGGAAAGATGAACACAAAAACATTTGAAAAAGTGTATGCCCTTGAAAGTATTGCTGAAAAGTATGGACACACCATATTGAGACTTCCCCCCTATTTTTGTGTTTTCAATCCCATCGAGTTGATTTGGGGAAAATTGAAACAAAGCATCAGGCGTAAAAATAATTTTCCAAAATTTGATAAGACGGTGATGGAGCTAGTTGAGGAAGAAGTATTTAATATTACCGAAGAAGACTGTCAGAAAAGGATTAAAAAAGTAATTTTAGTTGAAAAAGATTAGAGATTGGACACTTCCATATGAATGATGGAAATAAATTCATTATTGATTTGAATGACGACAGTGATAGTGAAACAGTCGAAAATATTTTAGTTGGCTAGAGAATGTCCGAATATGCCCTCCATTAAATTTTCAAAGTGATCCGTTGTCTGGTTCACCAGAAACGTCTAATGTGCCATCCACCGTGAATCAGCCTGTATTTATCCATCCTCATAAACTTTCACATTCATAATATTATTATAGAGTGTAGTTTTGTCTTTCACAGCCAAACTACCCTTGAAGTCGGATGCGGGTTGTGGGTTCACAATCCCCACAATCGGCATTTATTTTCAAATTGGAAATATTATAACAAATTTACTCAAGTATGCGACAACTGGCCTGCAAAAAATGTTTACTGAAATATACGATATTTTGTCCTCCTCACTCGCAACGAAAAGGATATTATTATCATCATTGGTATATTTATAAAAAAAACAGTTATAAACCAACTTAACCAATCAGATCTGAAATTTTCGTAGATATGGTTCGTACCCAGTTGATTTTATATTTTTTTAGATATAAATCACATTTTTACTAAAGGTCCATTTTTTTTTGTTTGCTGCATCTTTAATAATCCGGCTAATATTTGTTATTATCATATATTATCATATATCATATTATCATATATCATTATTATCATATATTATGATTTCCTTTACATTCTACTCTCGCCTAAGTTTTCTTTCGCCCTATACTCCCTTAGCACTTCAGATTCGAGTATGTATGTACTAAGGGAGGAGTTGACTGTTAGCGGTAGAGCAGACAACATGCCTATTTTGTGTATCTACAGAATTTCCTTTTCACTACTAGAGATATTATTCACCATTAAATTCGACTCCTTACATTACAATATTAAAAGGGTATTTGATTACCAATTCAGAAATTTGGTTTTCTTGAACTCGCCGTCCCTTATGATTTTACAGTCCTTCTTCTTTCAGGAAGAAATGAAAAACAATCAATATGAAACGGAAACTTTACCTTCTTGTTCTGACTTCAACAAAAGGGATTTGAATATACCAATCATTTCAAACAAACTGAATACCTTCAATATTAGCAATTGCTCGAATTTTCATATAAATATTGATACAAATAAGAATTAGAATGTTTCTGTTAGTACCAATCTTCTGTTCAAATTTCAATATTTAATACAAATTATAATTGAAATGTACGAAATTTTGTTCTACAAAAAAAAATAATAAAGAAATGATTCATTGATTTGTGATTCTACACGGTTGCCGAAAAAATAGTGGGCTCAAACACGCCCGAAAATAGTTTCAGACTTCCAGGACTTGCCTACGGCTCGTCCTCAAATTTTGTCTACTCGTCCAAAAAACAGTATTTTCCGGAATTTTTACACAAATTACTATTATTCAGAAGGGCAAGTACATCGTCAAAGTTTTTGATACTGGAGTGATTCTTTCTAATGAGATGCCAAATGCACTTCTTATATCCCCATAACTGAATGTTTTGCCAGGAATTTTGGGTAACCATAGGTAACCAATAGGTAGTTTTTTAACAACATTGGGCTCATCATTGCGTAGTACCTACCAGCGTGATAATTCCTTGATAATTGAGTTTAATTTTCTAGTTCAGAATTGAATAGAAACTTGAAAATGTATTTGTTTTATATTGCTCATCGATGTACTGTCAAAAATATTACAAGGTTGGATACAGAATAGAAACATCTTTCAAATAAAGTGTCACTCGATTATTATATCCATCTGAAATTTTCAACATGTTGGTTGTTCTGGGGATGGGGTGGCTAACAAAGGGTTGAGTTTTACGTAGAAATGTGTAGGTACTTCTGAAAACTAAAGTTGATGAATTTCACAGTCACTATATCAAATAACTTATTCAGAGTTGTTCGTTTCATTTGGAATGCACTGTAAAATAAATTATTTCTGAATACGCCACTGCCCCAATCAGTGGATTGTAGCAGTGGATGTAGATTCTCGTAACTCTTTGGTAAACGCTCATTGCTCAATTTGCTTTTACAGCATTCTCTTATGAAACAATTTTCTAGATCGAATACTTAATCAATACTAATTCTATAATACCTTTTTCCAAATTCAGTGTTTCCCAAGTGAATTTGTGGATTGAAAATACAGTCATCAGTGAACTAATTGGATGAAATAAATTAATGGACTTTGCTTTACGAGGTGATCACGATATATGTTTAAACTACACATAAAACATACATGAACTAAGAGCTGTGCGTAGATTTACTTGGCAATAGAAGAAAATACAATTACAAATATATGTAACACAAGTATTAAGGAAAAAAGTTCCGTATACCACCGTAGGTATAATGGAATGAACTTCCTTCAACTGAATATTATGCCAGTTTTTTTATTCTAAAAATGAAGTATTTGGCGATTTTTTCAGTTTTTCATTTCTTTCATTTTGTTTTTGATAATCCCAATTTTTTAAAAAAATGTAGTGGACTACCCAGAAATTGTAATAAATATCAATGGCAATTATATAATGATAAACATTTATTCGTAGTTTCATATAATTAAAATTAATGGAGATATTCATTCCGAAAGTTTCGCCTATAACTACGATGGGCATCTTCAGCGATGGTTGGCAGCAATGTGTTGTAACCTCCTCGTTGGTAGACTTGAAGTAGTTTCCTGGAACTGAACAAATTCTCGAATTTTTTGAGCTCGGAATTTTCATTCTCAACACATGCTCATCTGTGCATAATTGATTCCATATTCTTATTAAGTATCGTTATTATTTTCAATGTGTTGATTTGTACTTCTATAGTTGTTTTTTTACTTCATTAATTTTTCTGGTTAATCCTTAAATATCAGTGGACCACATTTTCGATAATAGGTTCAGTATTATTTCATCAGCAAGGCCATCCATACATAACTTATCGTTTAAGCATTCATTTGCCACTTAGTCAACAAAATGCTTTTCATTTCATTTATTTATCGTCTTGTATTCATTGTAAGAAAAATAGTATCCGATTCACCTGTTATGCGTGAAATTTATTACACAAACACTGTTTGTGTTACCAGTCAATCTTTTACGGAGAAATTCGCACAGTATCTGCAAACTTATTCATTCATAGTAATTTCAGAAGATGTTACTGACTTGCATCTTGCATTGTAGTCCAAATCGTTGAAAGAAGAGTGAAATTGTGTTTGAAATTTGTTTCATAAACATAGTTAGGACGTGCAGTATAAATGATTGTTACAACTTGTCTGTCGAGTTGACTGTGATTTCATTCTACTTGTGTCAAGTTTGTGATGCAAATTGGTTTTTCGTCACCATCGATTTTATGTCTGAATATTGTAGCATTCCTTGTTGGCCTATTATCCGTCGTTAAAACTAAAGGTTTTGTTAGATCAGCTGAAATCAACAACAACTCGGATATAATGTTCATCTTTTGACAAAGTGGCATGGGTTCAACCTCGACTATGAAGTATTACATTTGGAAGAGAAAGGTTGGAAACACCATTTTTTGAAATGCTTATGAATTAATAGATTAAGGAATTCTAAAATTTTTCTGAAAAAAATTGAGAGGAAAATAGGAACAATTTTCATTATTAGAAGTGTCCTATATATGGAAAGGTAATAAATTCCTGGACGGCTTTTATATATCTGAAAGGATTATTTATTTTATCATGCAGTATGAATTCGTGGGTTCATGGGAGGCTAAACATAAGGTCATTTATTCTTGTACGGATGATCTTACGTTTACTACCCCATATACAAACAAATTCGTACGGCATGATCAAATTAATTGCTACTTTTGATATGGGATTATTGTTTTTACTTTTTCAATAATTTCACGTGCACTACCTAAAACCGGCTGCATAAAGTTGAAACACATTTTTTACTTTAGATCTTTTACTTTCATTTTCTTGCACAATAAAAAAAGCATATAATTGTTCTCATCTCAGGCAAGTGGACCACTAACCCTGTGGACTAACCCTGTATGCGTCCGAGATCGCGAATTTGCAGACTGCGATATTGCAAGGCGGGTGACTTTCATTCTACGAGACTCACTTCTTAAATTGATTCGGAAACTTGAAACAAAAAAAAAACTAACAGACTAATTCCACGAAATTGTGTTTGGTATAAGTAATAAACAAGTTACAATTGTTTATGCGAGATTGCTTGGCAGCTTCGAATGTTGGTACTCCTATATGAATACATTTGGATAAATATCTCCGTTATTTATCACATGGTTTTGACAAACTCTCCTTATTATATTCATAATACAAATATATCAATCGAGTTATCACAAGGGGTGATAAATTCTGAAGTTGGGGTTGAAAATTACATGGCCAATTAGCAATTCAAATATAAAAATCGACCTCTCTAGTATCTTCTTGAAATATGTGTGTCGAATTGAATCAAAAGCTTAAAAAGGTATGAAATGGTGGGAATTTTCTTCAAATTCAGTTAATTGTTGCCTATAATTACAAATTAAACAGATATGTGCTCTACAAAAAATTAAAAAGGCCCAACATTAAAAAATCATTTTCCCATGAGCTCGCTACTCCCTAAGTATTTTATAAGCATTTTTTTGTATCGGAATATGTATAATTTATTTCGTCAGGAAAGTTTTCAGGAGAAATTCTTGGGTTGTTTGACCCCACCGATGAGACTCCAATATAGTAATGACTACTTAAGGTAAGATTGTACTTATCTTTTTCTACGAGTGACATCCTGACTTTTTATACCTATGTGAATATCATACCGGGAAATTGATTTAGGTAATACTACAAGTATCATACTTACCATGAATTTTTAGCAGGGAAGGATACGTGAAAATATAATAGTTGTTCCTTAATTTGAAAGAGGTCCAGTTCGCCACTGACCTGTTTCCGCTTGCTACTTTGATGGTACCCATATGCTCGGCGTACCACGGGCTGAAGTACTGCGACAACTCCAAATTGCTTATGTGCGAGATGCCTTGCTTTTTTAGCCTCTCTTTTATTTGTCTATAGTTGGTTTTGTTGAAAACGAACACCTGCAACAACATAATAATTATGCAATTTAGATTAATAGACGTGTGCTGGGTAGTTAATTATGTGCGGGCGATTGGAAGTCATTCGAATATACAGGGGGTTAAAAAAAGATGGAAATGAAATGCAATTTTTTCATTCCTAATTGAAGGAATCATGGATGGGTCATGTTGAAAAATGTGCTTCTACAATTATTTTCGGAAGTCCGTTTTTCACTCCCACATCACATCGAGGTACACTTCAGACACAATTTTCACGATTGAAGTCATACATTGTCGAGAGTAGATGATAAATAGTCATTATCAGAGCAAACTTAGCTGAAACATGTGGTATACAGATAAGTCGAAAACCGAATATGGAACGGAAGCTAGAATATAATGAGCCATCAGAATACATCCTTTCAGTCACCCAGAACTTGTCCAGATTTTTACTACCAATAATTAAACCACTGCAAGGTAAAACATCATCTTTTGTGAAAAATTCAAGGCATTTCGTTGAACTACTAGGGGAAATAGAAGTCAAAGAGCAGGATCAACTGATCAGTTTCGACGTGGAATGCCTCTACACCAACGTTCCTGTCGAAGAAGAACTTCAAATCAAATTTTTTATTTTTTATGGTTGTTGCTTATATGTTTTTTGTTTAATAAAATTGTTATTTTCGGTTAGTCTTTTTAATTTCTTTTCAGGGATTTCAAATCAATTTATATCATATTAGACAATGGAAGTCCGAACTGTCTTAGCTGTAGACAATAAAACGTAGGAAACAAAATGTGAGGCAAATGTGAAAAATGAAAAAATTACGCGATGAGGCTGCAGTATCTTATGGAGATTTGGAAAATATGACAAGTTGGACGGCACCCAAATAGCATTAAAGATCACACCACAGTGAAAAATGTATAAACACAGTTTATAAAATTTGGTTCGATTTTGTGAATTGGAGATGATATACTCACTAATATTCCGTGAAAGGCATACATTTATCCGGTAACTCATTACAGTGAACTATAAATTCCAATGCAAGTACATACTTAGGCAACATAAATCTATATGCACATGTTTCCTTTTCTGGTCGATAATAAAAATTGAATCAAGTGATAGTGTACTTAAGTCTTGAAAAGGAAATGATCGGTTTACACTAATAATTCTATGAGTCGTAAATTTATGTACTAATTAATGATCTGCCTCACTCGAATAAAAATCAGAGTTCTTCAAGTTTTATCGATATGGATATTGCATTTTCAACAATGTTGTGCGTCTATAGACATCAACCAAATGCCCTCACTTTTCAACCATAGTATGTAGTTCGTTATATAATTTCTTCATATTGACTCAATCGAATATCGACGATTTTTTTTGTTTGGTTGTACCTAGAATAAGGAATACTTACTGTCCTGCTGCTATTCCACTATCAATATGTCTGCTGTTCAAATTGAGAGGGAAGATTTGAAAAAATATCTTTAATCAAAAAGGGATATTTAAAAAAAAACTTTTTTCAGTTTGAACGAAATTCCTATACCTGGGAATACATCAAATAACCGTATGAATGTTTTAATGTACTGATATTTGTCCCATTCCGTGTAATAAAGTCGTAATCTTGTGCAAGAAAATGTATGTTTTTCGTCTTCAAAAGAGGTGCTGATGAGGAGTAAAATTTGGGTTTTTCTATGGCTATCAAAAAAATCGTTAATTGTATGTTCGTTTCTAGTTAGTTATGTAGGCAAATGAACCATTTTCAATAACTTCGAAATAGTCACAATTAACCAGATTCATAACACTACCTTCAAGGTCAATTACAGATTAGAAAATTGATTACTTTACGGTTGTGTTTGAATTATTTCTATTGTAGGTAAGCCTTGAGAATTTTCCTACTTTTAAATTATTCTCAAAAATCGAATTTAGAGTTTGATTTAAAATATATACTTTCTCTAAAACAAGTTCTAAACAATGCTTGTTATGGATTTTTTTCTACGCCAGAGGTCCCAATGCTTCTTTTAATTTGATATGAAGTTACTAATAAATAACAACATGGAGTCTGAAAGTGAAAAATATTGCACACTAAGAAAAATTTGTAATATGGAGAATACATTGATATTATTCGAAAGAGCTTTAAAGTTATTGACTGAATGAGAGTATTCAGAAGCTTTACGATACATTAATTCGTAAAAGGCTTCGTGAATCAGTTGGTTGAACTCGGAGCTTGTGTACCAGTTATTATGGGTTCAAATCACACCGACGGCAGTTTGATAATTTTGTTATTTAATTAATTTTGTTGTTAAACTGTTTGAAACTGAACAAAATATTTTTCAGTGGCCTCTTGATATGGAATTAAATGATATTACTTTTATTTGAGATATCCTTCACAAATTAATTTTATTTTAAAATATTGGTTTTCGTGTTCTTTGGCTCAGAACGTATATGAATGTATATGTGCATATTCACATCCAGTATGGCCAAGAGCAACGTCAAGGTTGGTAGTGAACTGCCGAAATAGAGTGTTAGAGTACTTAACAAATTGTCCCTGGTTTGGTCGTCAGACAGTACGGTCTCTTTATCATTTCTCATTGGAAGATAAAGAAACAGCAGAGCACATACTCTGCCCTCTGTCGAGGACCCAAACTCTTGGCAAAGTTTGTCTTATCATCTCATCTGAAATATTATTCATTGAATGAGCCAATCGGCTTTGTTAAGAAGCTGCACATATTTGTCGAGTTTGAAACAGGTTTCAACCACAATAAACCGTTAAGGATAACAGCGAATGGTCGATTATATCCTTCATTTTGAACCTACATACCTAGGAATTACGTTAACATTTTATAAAAACACAAGCACTAGTTGAAGATTAATGGGGGATATTCATTTTTGGTATCTTTGATTCACTTCAACCTTGAAGCAAGGGTGACAATTACTTTAAAATTTGTGAATGTCATAGGGATTGAATAAATAGTCGTTCTCTCTAATCGCCTAATAGTGTTGCAAAAAATTCCATTTGAAAATGTTAATTTGTTTAGGTGCCTATTTACTACTCAGTTGATCAAATGTCATATGTCAGTACAAGTCATTCGTTAACTAATAATATTGTTTTTTATAAATTGAAACTGGTATATTTTTAGGAGTGAATAATGTTTGAGAAAGAAAGGAGGAGAAGAAAGCTTAAACTTTTTTTATTGACTTTCAATATTGACCTTTTGTGACAATAAACAGAATTTCATGAAGCTGAGAGTAATTGATTTTTTTACTATTTTCAACATTGGCCTGGAAGTTATTTACTTGAAGTCATAAGGATGAAGTTGATAACGTTACTTTGCCCAACTTTTCTGCCGTTTTTCACTTTTATATTTTCTTTATTACCTTGAACACATGAGAGTTGACATGCAAATTGACCGGATATTTCGATACAATTGTTGTACAAACTCAAATCCGCAAACCTAATATTGAATATTAAATATGCGCCCGTTTGTTCTACTACTTTCAATTTAAGGGTACAGGCTGCCGGTTATTGCAATTCCTTATTTCATTTAAATTCCATTTCGAAATTTATTCGTTTAGTGTTTCAAATTCACATTTTCACTGTATTAGCCAAATCTGAAAAAAATTGTTGAACATCAATCAAAATGCGCGACGATGTTTAGTAAATTTTTTGTGAAAATAGTTCTTAGAAAGGTAGATGATCAAGTTACAATAACATTAATGTCTCATTAATGTTGAAAACTCAAAAGTGAAAGTTGTCATAATGTTTGAAAAAAGCGGGAATCATATTTCCGATCTAAGGTCTATAGAACAGTACTTAATTCTATTGTTCTGCATAATCTCCGTAAAATCAGCGGACGGCAAGGCCACGACCCACAAGAAGATAACCAACAACAAGTTAACAGTTGATTGTTAATTGTTTAACGTGTATATCACCGAAAATAAATAATAAAAACCAATTTTGACCGATCTATCAAAAACAAGCAAGCAAGGCATTTATTTATAATGGAACAAAAGCAATATAACAGCTCTTACGCTATTGTAAAATTTTATATCAACAATAAATATTTTCTCACGCAGTTTCTCAGCAGCAGTTGTGCAATGAATCAATCTGCGAATAGTATAACCATAAAGTGACGGAATGAAAGTGAATCGTTTGAATTTCAAATGGAAATCAAACAATATCCTGTTGATTTTTATATTTCTGTGCTAATCTCCTCGTGTGAATTACCTCTTCTTCGAGCTGTCATGCAAAGATCTGTTATTGTCATATTTACAGATCAAGGAGTTTTTCATAATTTAAACTAATACATAACATTCTAAGTATTAAAGAATAATTGCATTCCTCATTAGCTCTCGGCGTTTACTTCAATCATTTCAGATTTGTCAAAACGCCATAGGCGACTCGACTGTATGAATGTATACTAGTATTCGATAGATGTATTACGTTAGTGAATATTAAAGTTGGGCATCGTAATAAAAAGTTCCGTATATTTTTCAGTAAACCCTTTCATTTGTCACCCATATCATGCAGGTACATAAAAACTAGTCCGCCGTATTGGATTTAGAGTAACGTCATATTATTTTTCGTACTCAAAAAATTAATGTGATTTTGACACATTTATTGGGCATTGCTTATGGTGATAGTATGAAATTGTAATAGTAACCTATGTATTGGTTATACAGATAAATCCATCTTTACCCTTTATGGACATGTGGTCAATGACATAATTGTACAGTACTGAAGAAAATTAAATAAGAGACTGGCTTGAACGTTTGAAGTTCAGTTGCTTCAGATTGTTTACTGCCAGTCTTCAAGCATAGCCCACTGACTAATAAGAAAGTTTTTTTTTCTTATTCAGAGGAATCGGGCAAATTACGGATATGCAGTTGGTTAGTACCTCGTCCACTAGATGGAGTGACATTTTGTGATGTTTGCTGCAACTTCGGAAAAGGAATGAAATACTCTGAAAGAATTCCGATTTTCAATTGTGGAATATCATTGACTTTAGTTCGATGATGGTCACTATCTTGCACT